TTTTTTTTTTTTGAGCTTATTTCAGTTATTCTGCTTAACCAAACTAATCATTTTGACCAAATTTAAGATCAATTATTGGTCAAAAGCGTGGGATATTATGTTGCCTTTTTTCGGTTAAGTCGATGCACCAAAATACATCACTTTTTTTTTTTTTTTTGAGCTGGATGAGAACATGCCTTCTTCAGTCAAGTGTTTTGACCAAAATAGGTTGTTAAGTCTCTTGCTTATTCTGTATAGTTCCTACTTTTGTTAAGTCTTCTTTTTTACTTAAAATCTTCATAGTTTACAAATCAATTAAATAGTAAAATCATAATTTTCTAATCAAGTAATTGAATGAATTAATCATATTTACTTATCAATTAAATTATTGTGTAAATATGATTTACTAATCAATTAATTAATCAGTGTAATTATAAATTTTTAATCAATTAAGTAATGCTAATTATGTATAATTTAATTATCAATTAAAGAAAATAATTATAATTGACTAAACAATCAATTAATTACTATAATCATAATTAATCAATTAATTAGTTACTATTATTATTTTTAATCAATATACTCATAATTTAGAAATGAATCAAATGATTAATATGATTATTATTTACCAATCAATTAAATAATATAATCGAAATTGTAGAATAAAATAATTTATGTAATTAATTAATTGAAGAAATTAATCAAAGTTTATAACTTAGCAATTAAATATGTTAATATGATTACTAAATCAATCAATTATAATCACTGTAATTAATTTTATTTTTTAATTAATTAAGCAATTTTGAATCAATTAAAGCATGTAAGTACGATTTATTAACCAATTGATTAATCACTATAATCACAATTTACCAATCAATTAATTAATATCTTCATAATTTACAAATCAATTAAATAATATAATCATAATTATTGTAATCAAGTAATTGAATGAATTAATCATAATTTACTTATTAATTAAATTATTGTGTAAATATATGATTTAATAATCAATCAATTAATCAATGTAAATATAAATTTTTAATCAATTACACAATTTAATTAAGTATAAATTATGTATCAATTGAAAAATATAATTATAATTGACAAATCAATCAATTAATTGCTATAATCATAATTAAGCAATCAATTCATTAACATAAATATTATATTTATTCAATATAAGCATAATTAATAAATCAATCAATTAATTAAGCAATTAAATATGTAATTATGATTTACTAATCAATTAATGGGAGAAAATTATAATT